AGGTGGGAGAACAAAAAGGCACCTTTATTTCGTTGTATAAGGGAATGGAGCAGTTGGAGCCGTTGCTGACAAGACTGCTCGCCAAGGGTGGGCAGGTAGATTTACTTTTAAAGGGGTTAACAAGTAGGGAGTTCATACAAGTTACATCAGCAACATTCTTAATCATAGTACGCAGGTACAATGGGGTTTATATATAACCTCCAAGCAAAAGCAGGAATCAAATGCTTTTGAGAGGGGTGGTGCCCAGCAAAGGAAACGAATTTGCAATACAACACTGTTGGGGAGGAAGCCAGGTAAAGACTACAGCACTGTGCGGTTCTGTCTCAAGGAAAGCTGGACAGACAGAAATGGGAACCCAAGGTCAAGAAGGAGAGTGTTGACACGTCGTGGGGTTGGCAACCAATGTCACAATAAATTATTTAAGGATAAACTAATTTGCTCTATAAACCTTCATCTAAAGCACAATAAAAAAAATTAAAAAGAGAAAAAAGAAGGAAGCAAGGGAAACAATAACCACTTAACAATCTAGAGCTGGGTCAACCTTCATCCTAAGTGTATGAATGGACATCAAGATGTTTAATAAGAGAGTGTAATAAACTGCAAAATGGCAACAGACACAGCCCAGAGCACAACAATGGCTTGGCCACTAGGATTAGTAAGAACGACATGGAATTTAGGAGGGACAGAAGTCTCAGTCCTCAGGGCAGAGAAAATGAACCCAGACATGCTCCAGGCAAGAGCACCCTTAAAACCAGTTGCTATTGAGTTGAGCCTGACTCATGGCAATCCCATGTGTGTCAGAGTAAAACTATGCTCCACAGGATTTTCAATGCTCATTTTTTAGAAGTAGATTGTCAGGCCTTTCTTCCAAGGCATCTCTGGGTGGACAAGAACTTCTAAGCTTTCAGTTAGCAGCCAAGAGCGTTAACCATTTGCACCACCAGGGATCCCCAAGAGCATCCTTACCAGGCTCTAAATAAGAATGAGTCTGCAGTTAAAAATGCAAATCACACTTGCACTGTTTACTCACAGAAAAAATAGCTGTATCTATTTAACTATGAAGTAAATCTGGTTATAACCATCAAAAAAAAGAAAAAGTACTCCTTGGGCATAAGCCTTCAGCAGGGACTAGGGACTGAACACAAATCCTGGCATTTTTCAAACTACACAAAATCAAGTGCTCACCAGAGGTGGCTATGAGTTTGCAGCAAAAATGCCCACAGCATCTCAGAAGCCCTAGGAATTAGTCCTACCTCAGATGATCGCAAAGCTGCACTCTGCAGTGGCTGAGCATAGCCCCCACCTGGTGAAGAGTGGTAAAGCACTCTTCCCCAAAAACCCAATATTATCAAACCACATTATCAACACATCTAAAAAACTGACTAAAGAGAGGGAAGATAAAATTTACATTTTATCCAACTGAACAGGAAAAGGCAATATTTATCTTCCAGGTACCACTGCAACTCAGCACAGTGATTACACTAAAAAACAAATACTTCCCCTAAAGCCAATGCTGAAAAAAGAAGCTGGGGCGGCATAAAAGGTTTGGGTGCACCATAGTAACTCTGATGTCACTTCAGGCTCAGTGTTACAAGCTGCTACCAGCAGCACATTCTATTCTATACTTGACTCTGCAAATTATAAAACTGAGGAAATTTCAGTTGTGAAACCAAGCCTGCTTTCTAGTGGTCCTAGCCTCCTCGAGCAGTGCTATCTATTCATCTAGCTGTTCTGTTTTTAAACAACTCCCTCTCTGTGGAAGCCTAGACATGGGATTCTTTGTAGCATTGTAGCTTCCCCCCAGGTCACAGGACCTGTCTGAAGATACTGTCCCAGGGGACTGTCAAAGACTATCTCCACCACAAGCGCTTATTGTTGTTGTTAGTTGCCATCGAGTCAGTTTCAACTCATGATGACCCCTCCTGTGCAGAGCAGAACTGCTCCATAGGCTTTTCAAGGCTGTGACCTTTCAGAAGAACTTGGGGGTTTCCAAATATTCAGACAGCAGCCTTGGCTGAGGAGAGATGCAAATGACTGGGAGCTGGGTGTTTGCATTCTGTAGATGCAGCCCTCAGTGGATCCTTTTCATGAACAGGGGTGACCCTGTGCAGTGTAACGGATTGCTTTTTATGCAGCCTTTCTAGCTATGGTCTTGCAACTCCCACACAGGTGATTGGGCAGGACTGTGTGATAGGGTAATTGTGGCCCACCAAGAGGACTGGTCAGTTTTGCCATCCCACTGGGCTTGAAACGAGCCATCCCAGAGGTGGGAAAGAGAAGAGCCCACCACTACCAAGGAAGGAGAAACCAGCAGGAGAGACAGGCAAGAGATGGTGCAGTGGGCTTCCTGGCCCATGGAGAGAGAAAGCTGAGTGACTGTGGGCAGAGACTGAGGGCCAGGGAGAAGCCTAGGCCTGACCGACAAATTTGAGACTTGCCAGGCTCCACAACCGTGTAAGCCATTTCCTGAGTTCATGAGTTCTGTGAGAAGTTGCAATGAATTAGGGAACCCAAAGACGGGGAGGAAGAGTACTGAGGAGAGAGGGAGTAGTTGATGTTAGAGATGATGGAGTGGTACAGCAGTTGGAGAAGTTGGACATTTGGGACATCCTTAACCTCATTTCATAGGAACCAGCTTTGTGTGATCCTTATAAAAGAAATTATTCATTTACCCTGTAACTTGACAATGACCACCACTGAAATGTAGCACACCAAACTTTCTGATCTCCAGCTTCCTCACTTATCTAAAAGAGGTAACACCAAAGTGTAGGTAGGCACTTTGGAAACTTTGCCCTGCCATTAAAAAGTTGTATGACCTTGTCATCTCTAGACAGTAGACTCTCCAGATTGGAGGAGGTTTGGGGTTGATTTTACACAGAGAACCCTCAGAGGAGGGCACACACTAGTGTGAAGCACCATCCACCCACCCCATGTGTTCAGAGATGGGCAGACCCTGAGCCGGGCATACACACCCCACTGGTCCGGGAGACACCAGCCCTGAGGATGTGATGAGAGGGTGCTGCCTTGGCTGAGCCTCATGAGATGTCCTTGTAAGAAGTGTCCCCATGACCCAGTGCCTCATTTAAATCACTTCCTGTGGATTCTCAGGTGTGTCAGGCAGCCTTAATAACAATGAGCATGAATGCTCTGCACATTCACTCTTCATAAGGACCCTGTGAGAAGGATGTTACTCTCATTTACAGATAAAGAACCTGAGACACAGAGAAGTTAAGTAAATTGCCCAAGGCTCCACAGCAGAACCAGGATTTTTCCCCAGGCAGTCCGATCTAGAATCTGTGCTCTTAATTTTTTTGCTTCATGAACTCTTAAACAGATGAACTGTACTAATTTTGATTTTATATTTTATTTTTATATGTATATAAATGTGTTCATGCTTATATAAAATATATATTTTGTCTTATTTGTATAGTATATATGTATTTTCTATATTGATTTAATAAACTAACATTAATCGAGCACCTACCATGCAAGTTGTTATGATAAATGCTGAGGATAAATTATGAATAAACCTGTCAATATGGGGAAGGGAGAAGAGAGCTGGCAGTTAATAAGCATCTGCTCTGTATGGAGAGTGTCACTCACACTGTCTTATGTAACTCTCCTAACAGCCCTGTGAGGTAGACACTAGCCCCATTTTCCAGATAATGAAAATGAGGAGTTCAAAATCTAATCTCCAAACTATGTATCGATTAATATAGGTTACTTCTAACTTTCCTCAAATAAAGAGTACCCAGCAAGTTCCCCAGAGACGAGGTACAGAGAAGGAGGGACGGCACCTAAAATTCCATTTGGCAATGTTCATTCTAGAATCTGTAACCTTGATCTGCCTTCCCATTCCACAAACACACACACACAGGCACACACACATAGGCAAGGTCAGAGAGGAGAGAAGACATGGACTCCTGAAGTCCATGGAGTGTCGCCAATGGAGGCCAGAGTGCCTGGGTCCAAACGCTGCCTCAGCCTCTTTCTGGCAGTGTGAGCCTGGGCAAGTCACTTAACCTGTTCCCTCATCTGTAAACAGGGACAGTAATAGCACCTATTCTGGGTGACTGTTGTGAGGACTAAAGGGGTTACTAGTGTAAAGTACTTAGAACAGTACCCAGCACTAAAGGGGATTGGGGAGGCAGGATTCTTGAATCTGCTATAATGTCCCTAGATTTGCACCCTTGAGAGAAGTGGAGCCACCCTTCACCTTCACTCTAATGGGGGGAGCTGCCTCAGAAACCACACCTCCAAGATCGCTGGATGTGGACTTAGAAGGCTTGCGTCTGGGCCCGTGGGTCTCCTCCACAGCCCCCACGCCTTGCCACCTCCCTTTGCTGCCCCAAGCCAGGGACCTGATTCCTGGGGCGGGAAGGACAAGCAAAGCCAAAGGCGGGGCTCCTAACGCCGGGGGTTCCCAGGGCTGACCAGAGACCAGAAGTAGTTTCAACAGCAGAGCTGCCGGGCTGCTACCAGGATGAGGCGGGGTACCAGCGGCGCGGGCGGGGTCTCATTGCCCTCTACTCTCCAATCTGCTTTCTGAAGGCAGAAGCCCCCACCCTCACCCCCACCCCACCCCCAGCCGCGCATCAAGTCCCAACCTGGGGTTTAGGGACAGGAGGGGGCTGGGTCACTGGGACCTCACCAAGCTCCCTAGAAGTGGGTCAATCCAGAGTTGGAATTCCAGCTTGGCCCTTCACTACGTGTGCGTCCTCGGGCAGGTCACGTGTCATCGAGGCGCCTCAGTTTACCCACCTGTAAAATGGGCACGACACTCCCTGCTTGCCCAGGGTGATAGGCGCAGCTGCGTTCACATGGCTTCACGCGGGGCACTGCGCGTGGGCGGGTACCGGGGGGGGGGGCAAAGGGCGCGTGTGCGGAGGGGCGCCGTGCCAGCCGGCGAGGCCCAGGGTGGGGTGCGGGGTAGCTGCCGCTCGCAGTGCCCGCGTCATCGCAGGGAGGGCGGGGCGGCGGGGCGGCGGGGCCGCGCTCTGGGGAGACGGCGGCTGGAGCTGCTGGCCGGGACTGCTCCGCCTTTTCACCGCTCTCCGCTTTCCTCCCCGCCGCGCACTCGCGAAGATGGCCACCGACGTACTGCAGGAGAACGAGACGCTGGCGTCGCTGAAGAGCGAGGCCGAGAGCCTCAAGGGCAAACTGGAGGAGGAGCGGGCCAAGCTGCACGACGTGGAGCGTGAGTGCGGGCCGGGGCGGGGGCCGCGGGGCGCGGGGAGGGGTCGCCGCCGGCGCAGCAGCTAGGCCGAGTAAACAAGACAGGCCCCTGGGGTGAGGGCGACCTGGGCCCGGTGCGACAGCAAGGTCTGCACCACTGCCGGAGAGAGGGGACCCCGGGTGCCCAGCTGCACGCAGGTGAAGAGCGTGGCGGCAGCGAGAGCACCTGGCGCGCAGCCAGGCCAGCCCTCGGAGGCTGGCGGCACCTTGTTGGTCCCCAGCCCGCCAGCTAGCGAAGGCCGGCCCCCTCTGGGCGGGGCGCCTGGTTGCAGAAGCTCCTGGCCGCTGTCCTCAAGACAGAGGGTCGTGGGGCCAGTTGCCGTCATTACCTGCCCAGAAGATGCTAACTGTTGGCAGTCGTGCCCTTGTGAGCCTGGAGGAGTGGGGTGGCGCTGAGAGGTGCCAAGAGCAGCGAGCCCGTGTGGGCCGAGACCTAGGGTAGACTTTTGTTTTTTAACCATCATCTGTCTCCCGCCAACATTGTTGCGTCTTTCTCAGTTTTGCTTTTGCAAGAAACGGATTCTGATTTAAAAGCTTCTTTCTCCAATTTCTTCCCTTCCTTGTGTGGAGGTGGGAGGCGGGGGAGATGAATGGGGGAAGGGAAGCAGATGAGCTTATCACATCCAACCATGTCGTTCATTTAAGGCTGTTTAAGAAGCTTTGGAGAGATGCAGTGTGATCGGCGTAAAAGGGCAATGGCAATCCTAAACAAACTTCCCTTCTTGATGACCACCGTAATTCAGAACCGGCTCTGTGATTTTTGAGTGAGCAATTAAATAGCCAGGTTAAATGCCTGTTGGATAGATCGGCTGCCCTTTATCCTGTCAGATAGTTCCCCCTCAACAAAGCTTGGGCTGAGGGCCAGGCTTGGGGAAGTGGTCTTACCTGCACACTCTTCAGCTCTGAGGGTGACAGCTCCCCTTTGCCCAGCAAGGCCCCTCCACTGTGCCTTTACACACGTATACATCGTGCTCCTATCGTTGCTGTTTGGTAAACCAAACCCATTGCCAAGTCGATTCTGACTCGTAGCAACCCTGTGTGTGTCAGCGTACAACTGGGTTCCTGAGGGTTTTCAGTGGCTGATTTTTCAGAAGTAGATTGCCAGGCCTCTCTTTTGAGGGGTTTCTGGGTAGACTTGAACCTCCAACCTTTTGGTTAGCAGCCAAGTGTGTTAACCATTTGTACCACCCAGGGACTTCCATTTGGTATCACCCTTTAAATTCCCGTTTGTAAAAGCAAAATGGGGTTCATGCTAGGCCCTTTAGCACTTGATTTCTTTTTTGAAAATTATTTGATGGAAGCAAATGACCTGAATCCAGAGTGTGCTGTGCTTTCAGAGAGGTCTTATTTAAATAGGTGTTCTAGGCTCCCTGTAGCATTTAGAAATGTGTCCAGCTGTAATTAACAGAAAGCCCAAATAAAGTAGTTAAGCAAATTGGGAATTATTTTTCTTATCTAACAAGAGGAAGAGTAGCCAGTTGCCAGCTTTGGTTCAGCAGCCCAATGTGCCATCAGGGGCTCAGGCTCTTCTCCACACCCTTATGGCACTGGCATTTGCCTCCATGGTTATAATACACGGGCCCCAGCTCCAAACATCACTTCTGTATCCAAGGCTGGAAGAAGGGGAAAATGTGGGCAGAAACTCTGTTTGCTCCTTATTAGGAAAGCAAAAGTTTTCCCAGAAACCCGAGGAGATTTCTGCTTGCACTTCATTGGCCAAGACTAGGTCATATGGCGACTGCTAGAGTGTGTGGGAAAGGGAGAACTGAGCTGGGTGCATTACCATTTCCAAGTAAGGTTTCTGTTACCAGCAAAGAAGTGAGGAATGGACATTGGGAGGCTTGGGTCAGGATCAGCCCACTCCTCTTTGCAAATTTCCGCAGATGATAATGACAAATGCAGGCTCAGTGCCTCAGGTTGGTTGTCTTATTTCTCTACAAATGAAGAAACTGAGGCACAGAGAGGTTAGAGGACTTGCTGAGGGACCCCAGCTCGTAAGTGGTGGGGCCAGGATTCCAGCCCAGGCAATTGGAGCTCTAGCCCAGGCTCCCTTCAGCTTTCACGCCAAACCCTTTTGTGCTTTATGCAGAAGGGCATTGTCTAGAAACTCACTCAACAGTTCAGGCTGCATGAGTGGCACTGTTCCCGCAGGGGTATTTTTCTGCCTTGTCTGTGGATTTGTAAATTGCCATAAGGCAGAGAGATGGTCGTGATGCAGCTTTTCAGCAGGGAGCCGGAGCCCCTGGGCTGGGGGGTTGATCAATTCAAAAAGGGCGTAGCATCCTCAGAAGCCAGGGCTGAATTTTGGACCCACAGTGGATACCCGTGTGTGTGAGTAAGAATTTTTGAGTTGAAAAGACCAGGAGTCATACAAGTTTCTAGTAAGATGTTAGTAGAGCCTAAACAAAAATCCAGGTCTCCTGATTACAGAATCCAGTCACCCACATGACATGTCATCACCTCTGTCCCTTGACTTATCTGGAGATGTCCAGTAAGTATTTGTAGCGAGGACAATAACCAGTTCCAACAGTGGGACTCTGGAAAGATTTCATGGAAAAGATGACATCTTAGCCAAACTTCTGAATGTGGATTGGATTTGGATAGGCAAAGATAGGAGGGGAAAATCAATCCATGCAGGGAAAACAGCTTCGGAAGCCTGGAACGGGGGGCGGGGTGTATACAGGATGAGATGGCTTGAGGTAGGGAAATGAAGTGTGAAAGGGAAGTGGCCTGGGGTACAGAGATTCTTAATAAATGTGTCTCTCCCTCTTATCAAATAGTGTTGAAGTACCTTTCTTACTTGCTCATTCATGCTGGCAGTTGAAGCCAGGTGGAAGAGTGGGAGGCTTGTCTTGGTTCCACATTAACGTTTGACTTACCTGTTCTCGCCCCACCCCACCCGACTCCTGCAGCTCCCACTTAGAGGCGGGAAATTTAGAGGAGGAAATGCTGATGATCTGGTAGTTTTAAAAACAAAATGCCGCAGCACCTGCTGTGTGTCAAACAATTGTGCTCTTGTTTTTCCCCTTGGTAAAGGAAGGTAATTTCATCCCCATATGGCCGGTGAAGAAACAGACTTGGAGAAGTCAAATAATTGGCCCCAGGGTCATGCCCCTAGTTAGTGGTTGGGCCTGGACTCAGTTTGGGAATAATGCTGCTTTCCTTGCTGGGCTCTCCTTTGAGCAAGTGACCCAAGTGCCTGGGGGTGGTGGGAAGGGTTCCATGAATGTGGAAAGGATCAGAACTGTGTCTGGTTCACTCCCCAAAGCAGTTGTTGTGTGCCATCAGTCGACTCGATTCCGACTCATGTTGTTGTTGTTGTTAGGTGCCGTCAAGTCGGTTCTGAACCATAGCAACCCTATGTACAACAACGAAACACTGCCCTGTCCTGCGCCATCCTCACAATCATTGCTATGCTTGAGCCCATTGTTGCAGCCACTGTATCAGTCCATCTCGTTGAGGATCTTCCTCTTTTTCGCTGACCCTCTACTTCACCAGGCATGATGCCCTTCTCCAGGGACTGGTCCCTCCTGATAACATGTCCAAAGTTCGTGAGGTAAAGTCTCACCATCCTTGCCTCTGAGGAGCATTCCGGCTGTACTTCTTCCAAGACATATTTGTTCATTCTTTGACAGTCCATGGTATATTCAATGTTCTTCCTCAACACCATGCTTTAAAGGCGTTGATTCTTCTTCTGTCTTCCTTATTCACTGTCCAGCTTTCACATGCATATGAGGCGATTGAAAAAACCATGGCTTGGATCAGACACACCTTAGTCCTTAAAGTAACATCTTTGCTTTTTAACACTTTAAAGAGGTCTTTTGCAGCAGATTTGGCCCAATGCAATACGTAGTTTGATTTCTTTTTTTTTTTTTTTCCCATCATTTGATTTCTTGACTGGCGTTTCCATAGGCATTGATTGTGGATCCAAGTAAAATGAAATCCTTTACAACTTCAATCTTTTCTCCATTTATCATGATGTTGCTTATTGGTCCAGTTGTGAGGATTTTTGTTTTCTTTATGTTGGGGTGTAATCCATACTGAAGGCTGTGGTCTTTGATCTTCATCAGTAAGTGCTTCAGGTCTTCTTCACTTTCAGCAAGCTAGGTTTTCTCATCTGCATACTGAAGATTGTCAATGAGTCTTCCTCTAATTCTGATGCCGCATTCTTCTTCCTATAGTCCAGCTTCTTGAATTATTTGCTCAGTACACAGATTGAATAAGTATGGTGAAAGGATACAACCTTGACACACACCATTCTTGACTTTAAACCATGCAGTATCCCCTTGTTCTGTTCAAACAACTGCCTCTTGGTCTATGTACAGGTTCCTCATGAGTATAGTTAAGTATTCTGGCATTCCCATCCTTTGCAATGTTATCCATAATTTGTTATGATCCCACACAGTCAAATGCCTTTGCATAGTCAATAAAGCACAGGTAAACATCTTTCTGGCATTCTCTGCTTTCAGCCAAAATCCATCTGATATCTGCAGTGACATCCCTCATTTCACGTTCTCTTTTGAATCTGGCTTGAATTTCTGGCAGTGTCCTGTCGATGTATTGCTGCAACCCCTTTTGAATGATCTTCAGCAAAATTTTACTTGCATGTGATATTAATGATATTGTTCGATAATTTCCACATTATGTTCAATCACCTTTCTTTGGAATGGATACAAATATGAATCTCTTCCAGTCAGTTGGCCAGGTAGCTGCCTTCCAGATTTCTTGGCATAGATGAATGAGCACCTCCAGTGCTGCATCCGTTTGTTGTAACATCTCAGTTGGTATTCTGTCAGTTCCTGGAGCTGTGTTTTTCACCAGTGCCTTCAAGTGCAGCTTAGACCTCTTCCTTCAGTACCATCGGTTCCTGATGATATGTTACCTTCTGAAATGGTTGAATGTCGACCAATTCTTTGTGGTGTAGTTGGCTCTGTATATTCCAATTCTTTGCGGTGCAGTTGG